CCCTCCTCGTCCCCCTCCTCCTTCTCCTCCTTCTCCTTCTCCTCTTCCTCCTCCTCCTCCTCCTCCTCGTCCTCCTCCTCCTCCTCCTCATCCTCATCCTCATCCTCATCCTCATCCTCATCCCTCCTTCTCATCCTCCTCCTCCCCGTCCTACTCCTCCTCCTCCGCCTCCTCCTCCTCACTCCTCTTCCTGCTCTTCTTCCCTCCTCCTCCTCCTCCTCCTCCTCCTCCTCCTCATGTTCAGCCTCCTCCTCCTCCTCCTCCTCCTGCTCCTCCTCCCCCCTATTGCTGATTTCCCAGGGCGGAGGATGTCTGTGACGCACCTCAGCCGGCACGGGACCTACCTTTCCCGCTTGGGGGCGCCCCAGGGGGCGCCAGCGGGAGGGGGTAGATCAGTGCAGGCATCCCACCACCTCCTCCTCCTCCTCCTCCTCCTCCTCCTCCTCCTCCTCCTCTTCCCTCCTCCTCCTCCTCCTCCTCCTCCTCTTCCTCCTCATCCCCCCTGCTGCGCCTCCTCTCCCTCCTCCTTCCTCGTCCTCCTCCTCCTCCTCCTCCTCGTCCTCTCCTCCTCCTCCTCCTCCTCCTCCTCCCCGCGCCTCCTTCTCCTCCTTCTCCTCCTCCGCCTCCTCCTCGTCCGCTTCCTTCTTCTCCTCCTCTTCTCCTCCTCCTCCTCCCCGCCCTCCTCCTGCTCCTCCTCCCGTCTCCTCCTCCTTCTCCTCCTCCGCCTCCTCCTCGTCCGCTTTCCTTTTTCTCCTCCTCCTTCTCCTCCTCCTCCTCTTCCTCTTTCTCCTCCTCCTCCTCCTCCTCCTCCTCCTCCCTCCTCCTCCTCCTCCTCCTCCTCCTCCCTCTTCTTCGTTACTCCTCCTCTTCCTCCACCTCCTCCTCCCCCCTCCTCCTTCTCCCGCTCCTCCTACTCCCGCTCCTCCTCCTCCTCCTCCTTCTCCCGCTCCTCTTCTTCTTCCTCCGTGTCCATTTTGGCTGAAGCTTTTGGTTCCCCTTGGAAACACAGGTTTTCGTGAGTCCGCGGTCAGCTTTCAGTCTTTTCTCCCCCCGGCCACCTCAGTGTAGTTTCGCGCTGCTGAGGCCGAGCATCACGACGGTCGTGCGCTTTCAGGCCTCCGTGCTCCGTGCTCCCAGGATGGTCAGTCAGCCTCTCGCGTTTGCTGACAAGGGTGCTCTTGGGAATACTGGTTGGAAGCGCAGGCCATGGTTATACGCGGGACCCTTATGGAGGTGTACGGCGTGTGGGTGCGGGAAGAAACCCAACTCTTACCGCTGATGCAAGCACTGTGGAGTATGGAAGCCAAGGGGCCCCAGCTACGGTAGCAGTCAGCCTTCTCCCGACTCCAGGTGGGCCAGAGGACCACCATCGGTGCAGGAGAAGCATCCCGACGATATGCAGTCCAGCACGCAGTTCGATGCTTCTTTCCCCGGCAAAGATGAGCTCACCAGCCTGCAAGAGACCTCCAGCAAGATCGGGAACAATCGCTCGTTGACCTCCTGCGACAAGCAGCTCAAGGTGCTCAACAGAGTGCCGCCGCCGCCACCGCCCATCGAGCAGCGCCTGGCAGCTTCCAGGCGTGCGCTCGACCAGCAAGGAAGCAAGCTCAGCAAAGCCATGGACCAATACTTCACATGGAAGCGGGACATCGACAAGCGTTGGGAGTACATCGGTCCCCTCAAGGAGAAACTGGAGGTCCTGCAGGCAGACTGTGACGAGTTGGCGGCGGAGGTTGGCGGCGGCGCACCCAAGCCCCAACAGGAGTAAGAGCAGTCCACGGCCAAGCCGAAATTGTCCCTCCGTGCGCTCCTGGATGGCTCGTTGGACGGGTTCACCGTTGACTGCGGAGATGGGTTCCGCTCGGGGGGTGACGAGGACATTGAAGAAGTGGAACTCAAGCAAGCAGAAGAACGTAAGGAGGCCTTGGTCTCTCAGCTCCAGTCCGCGGCAAAGCTTTTTTGTTTCTCAGAGGCGGCCTTCAAGCGTGCGAAGGCCAGGGAGGATTATGAGGCCCAGCACCTCGGTCCCGGTACAAAGAGGAAGACCCAGGATGGCGCTGCCCCAGGTGAGAAGGCCCCGCCCGCCCAGGACAGCGCTGAACCTCAGCCAACGGGCCCAGCGGTCTCAGTCTCGGATTCCAGCTCGGATGGTCAGCCGCCCGCAGGGAAGGACAATGTTGTGGAGGCCAGGAAGGTGTTCGAGCAGGAAGCCGCCAGGCGCGCAGCTGGTGACCATGCCCTCTCCTCTACCTAACCATCTGCTGCCTCACCCTCGGCGCCCCGCGAGGGGCTCAATGGGGGCCCCAGAGCATCCCCTACCCCGAGGCGACTGCAGTGCGCGGCTGGACCCTCGGCGCCCCGAGAGGGGCTTCGAGGCGGGCTCGGGGCGTTCCCCACCTTGGGGAGACGGCGCGGTGGACCACCAGAGGGGTGGGGGCCAGAAGAAGGCATCAGTTGACAGGCAGATGTCGTTCTATGTTCGCAATATCACGTCGTGGGGAGCCAGCGCACTCAACGACGTCAAAGACGGAGTTGGAGGAGCGGGCGCGGTGAGGTTTGCGGGGGCCCACTTCGACGATTCTCCTGCCATTATCAATGCCATGGACAGGCGCGGTTGGAAGGCTGCCGTTTCCCCGCCCAGGGCCAGAGGTGACGTCGAGCGTTCAGATGGGGTTGACGCAGGCGTCAGTAAACATACCAGAAGCCACGCACCTAAAGATCTCTGCAAGACCCCGGACCAACGAGAAGGATCTGGGCGCCTAGAGGGTCGATCGTCAGGAGGCGGGCCCGCTGACTCTTTGGATTTCGCCCCGGTGCCCATCGAGCCCACAGGAGGGCTGGACATGTCCTTAATCTCATTGTGTCCCACACCTTGGTCGAGAATGGGTGGTATCAATGCAGACAACTGTTGACCAGCATCGGAGCCTAGGTGAGGCCCGCGAGGATGCCTCGGATCATCGCAGCAAACTGGAACGTCTCGCCGTCCGTTCTCACGCAGTCCAAATGGCCAGAACAGTTGGGTAGGGCGGTCATCGCGCCTGGGAATGCGGCCTGGGCATGCAGCCGACCGCCGTACAACGCGCTTGATTTCTTGGTCGTCTCCGATTGCGCGGCGCAGTTCAGATGCGCATGTTCCGCCGGCGACGCAGGCGGGGGCCGCGAGGGCACCTGGCCCACGTTGCATGTGAATGCCCTGTTGCCCGAGACTTCATTGCAATTGCCTCGTCGGTTCGCGCGCCCTCCCCGCCAAAAGCGCGGGCCAGGTCCAGATGGCGAGTGCGGCCGTGGGAAAGGAGAGGAAACGCGAGTGGCTCCACTCTGCGACGTGCTGCGACCGTGGGCCAGTCGGACGACGACGCGCCCCTCTTAGAAGTCTCCCCAGTCAAGAGGTACGGGAGAGGACTTGCCGCAAACTTGCCCCGCGAGACGAGCACGAGGCCCGTGCTATCATGAGGCGCCAGCCTTCGCGCGCAGTGGTTTCTGTCCCCCTCCGCGAGCAGACGCGACCCGAGGGTCTCGGGTCGTCGCCTGGCGCGGCTACTGCGGCCCCCCTTGGAAGGGAAGGGTTCCGAAGCCCGGGGGGTGTGGGGGGGGGGGGGGGGGGCGTCTACTTCCGCGTCGTCTTCTGCCCCTTGCGTCGCGCCGACCTGCCCTTAGAATCTCGGGCCGCCGCCTGGCGCGCCTAATGCGGCATCTCTTGGAAAGGAGTGGCGGTCAGAGCTCAGGATGGGGGGTCGTCTACGTCAGCTCCGCCCATTGCCCCTCTCCTCGGGCCGACCTGCCCCGCGGCGAGGGGAAGTGGTCCGAGCTCGGGAAGGGGGATGTCTACATCGGTTTCGTGCATCGCCCCTCTCTCGGAGCCGACCTGCCCCGCTGGGGGGGGGGAAGTGGTCCGAGCTCAGGCAGGGGGGGGGGGGGGGGCGCCCACTGCGGTTTCGGCAGCTACTGCCCCTCGCCTAGAGCGGACCTGCCCCGAGAATCTCGGGGCGCCCCCCGAGGCGAGAGTTGCGGCTCGCCTTGGGGGGGGGGTCCGAGCTCAGGCAGGGGATCGTCGGTCCCAGTTTCCGCGGGCCTTCCGAACTTCGACAGCGATGACGATTTCCTCGCGGATGTGGAGGCCCGCCCAGAGGACGCGGGCTGCGGCGGGGCCCAGGGGCCAGACGACCCCGCCCACGGGCACCGCGAGCGGGGGGGTCTCCCGCTCGCCCAGCAGGATGGCGAGGCGAAGGCCGCCGCCAAGTGCAACGCCGGCGCGGGGAAGCGCCATCTTGGGCGACCTGCCCTCAGAGGGCCGCTCGCCGCCCATCCCAGGCTACATCCAGGACTTCTGCCTCTGGAGTTTCGGGCTCCCGACCCAATCTTCCGCGCTGGGCTGCCCGTTCTCGAGCCGGGTCGGTCGCCCTGAGAAGTTCTTGCGCGAGACTCTATGACGGCCCGCCTGACCAGCAAGTTTTTATTCGGGGAGGGCTGCTACGCCTGCCCCGCGTATCGCGCGCGTGTCGAGGAAGGACCAGCCATCGCGCGATGTTGATCCTGTCGCCATTTGGCGGGGCGAGGTGGCCAACCTGGCAGCTGCCGGGGCGGCGTCGGCCTGCCTCGTGGACGTTGGAAGACAGGCCGCCCCCCGGGGCCTCGAAGCCAAGCGTGAGCTGAGAGCCCGTGCGTGCTCGATCACCTGTGGGCCCGCGCTGGCCCTTGCCCCCGAGGCGGTTGTTCCCTGGCAAATTTGGATTCGGGGCCCCGACAGCCTGACCACCGCCCAATTTGAGACTCTCAAAGGGAATTCACGTGCCGATGCCACCCATGCTGAGCAAGCCCCCGCCCGTGCTGCGCGCGCCGAAGTCAAAACCTGGGTCGCGGAGGCCCTTTCGCAGAAGGTTGGCAAGCCGCGCCGCTACCCCGGGCCCCCGCCAAGGGTTCAGCCAGAGCTGCCGTTAGACAGGTTGCGCCAGTAGCCCAAGGAAGGTCATGGACCACCGTGGGGCCCGCCGGCGCGCTGGGCGGTCTGCGCCCGACGTCGACAGGGCGCGGGGCAGAGTCTGTGCAGCTTTCGTTAGAGGCCGAAGGCTGGCCGAGGAAGAGACGCTATCATATTTGACCCTCGAGGGGCTCCAGGCCGGCTTCCGCCGGACCCCTGCCCCGGTCGAGGGATCGAGAACCTCGGGCCCGGGGGCGCCCAGGAGCCGGGGCCCCAGGGCCATGGCCGCGGCAGCTGCTGCCCGCCATCGCAGGCCTGATCCCTGAGGAGGCGGGAGGCCAGCGGGCTATCGCCCTGCTGGGATCTCCCGCCTGTGGAGCCTGTTGAGAAACGATGTCTTCAAATATTGGTTGGGCGGACAGGCCGGCTTTTGGGGCGAGGCCGCCAGGGGAAGCAGCGTCCTCGGAGCAGCAGTCGCGAGGCTTTTCATGGGCGAAGCGGCAGATGCTATAGGAGTCGCGCACGACAGTCTCCTGCTTGATGTGAAAGAACTCCACGATTCCCTCTGCATTGGTCTGTTGATGAACCGCAGTCTCGACCTAGGCTATTCACCCACCATTATTGTCCTGTCTGCCCAGCTTTACTTAGGGCCCATAATCCTTCGAGACAGGTCAGCGGTCAGTGAACCTATCAGCCCCACCTTGGGAGTCGCGGCTGGTTGCCGAAACGCCAAGAACGGGGCCGCTGCGCTTCTGCGCCCCATCCTTGGCTCGGTCCATCGCCCCCCTTTCCCCCGAGGGCTGGCCGCCAAATCATGGGTCGATGATGTTGGCTTTTGTTTCATTGAGGCTGCGGTTGCGTTCGCTCCGGCTGTCGCGCAGGATGGCCTAGCATTGTCCGGTAAGTCAGCCGCCATCGCTATTGATTGCGCGCCGGCAGCAGAGATCATTGCATCATTGCTTCACTCCGCGCTGCAGGACCCCAGGTGAGGAACCGGGGGGCCGCGGCGGATTTGGGCATCGAGGGAGGCCCCAGAAGGCCCCAGAGGCCCGCCAGACACAGTGCCAGGAGGTCGCTTGCCAGGTGGCAGGCGAGTGAGCTTCGGAGGCATGCCAGGGGCACTTCTGGATCGCAGGCTGCCAAGCGGGTCGCCACCACGGGTATCATGCCTCACATTGCCTACGGGGCCAAGGTTGCCCCCCTCGCCCTGGACCCAATAAATGACCTCGGGCGTTCCCCGGGCATACTTGCCGCGGCTAGGGCGAGGGGGGGTGCCCCGCCGCCGCGCTGCATCTTGGCGACGGGGGCCAGGGCCCCGCCATTGCACTCCCAGTGAGCGCCATCAGTCTTTGGTTTGAGCCCATGCCGTATTCAAGCCCCCTCGGGCGCAGGGCGCAGAGGGCTCGGCCCCGGTAGCGCGGTCGGCTTCATCGGCGGACCCCTTGCAGGGTTGGAGGAAGGTTAACGATTAACGGCGCGATGGCAGGCGCGATTGCCGTGCTTCTCGCCGCAGGTTGGGGCCCCCAGGGGCCTTGGGATTGGCTCCATCCTTGTGGAGATCGATGCGCAGTCGCTGACTCGGTTTTTGACGACGAAGCGCACCTCGATTGGGAGCGTTCCCTCGAGATCGGTCGCGGGGCCCTGAGGCTTTCGGCTTGGAAGGCCGCTTCGAAACATGTGAACGGTCAAGGCTTGGAGAACGGGGCTGGGACCTCCGACCTTCTCAGGGCCCTGAGGGCCATGGCCAAAAAGGGGTCTAACAAGCACCGTTGCCGCCGCAGGTTTCTGGCCCAGAGACAGGCTGGCCCAAGCAATGGTCAATGTGGAGTCAAATATGTGTCCGAGGCGTGGCCGTGGGCCCGAGACTGACCTTCACCGCTGCTGGACCTGCCCTGAGAATGCAAGGATTACGCGCTGCCGGGCCACGCAGCACCTCGTTGACCAGGCCGTGGCGGGCGCCGAGGAGCACCCTTGCCATTGGCTGCGAAGCATCGTTCCCGAGACGTGGATTTCCATCCCTGCGCCCCCCGACGACCTAGTTGCCAGGTGGGGCCCGTCGTTGCCAGACCACCCCCTTTGCATCGCGTAGTTTCCCCCCGCTAGCTCCTGCGCGGCCCGCGCGATGAAGGTCGGATTTGGCTGGCGGGGGGCGGCTCGGGAAGACTTTTTCAAGGGCGCCCTTTGCTCCGCAGAACCTCTCGGGCCGCGGTTTCCGTCAATTGGGGGGCCGACCCGACGAGGGACTTGAATGAGTCGCAGAAGTCTGCAGGTTTTCGAGGGGTCGTCCGAGGGCCCGGGCAGAGCAGCAACAGTTCCGAGCAGGTTGCGTTTCTCGAAGCCGACCGATCTACCCGAGGCAGGAGTCCCACATGCCTCACCGACAGTGCGCGCGCGCGCCTAGAAGGGTCTTTTCAGGCCCAGGGCCGAAGCTTGCAGGAAGCCAAAGTGCAATCGTGACCTCTGGGATATGGTGGGGGGGCCTGCGCTGGACAGGGACGTCGAGATTCTAAAATCGAGAGCCACGCGAAGGAGTCCGATCATGTGCGAGCCTCGCCTGAGGCGAGGCCCCCTTTCGCGCCCAACACCTCGGCCAACCACCCGGCTGAGGAGATGTCTCTTGAGGCCCAAGTCCCGCCAGGAGTCGCCGAATCCTTGCGTGGGCTCGAGGTGGAGTCGAAAGACTTCCGCCGCCGCCTTGTCGCCATGATGGCAGGGGTGCCTGCTTCTCGACCAGTTTCTGAATTGCGTTCGGCCCCGGGGGCCGCTCGGCCCAAGCTGGGCGCGAAGCAGGCCATGGTTGACGAGCTCCATGTCCTCGGGCCCACCGACGGCGTTCGCCGTCGCCGGCATGAGAGCCCTGCAGTGCCACAGCGGTTGCGACCCCCTCCTGTCAGTCCCCTGTCTCCGCGGCTCCAACACGCCGCGATCTGACTGCGCACCCCTCTCATGCCATGCGGTGGCGGGGGGTGGGGCGGCCCTCGAAAGAAACCTGTTTTTGCTTGTTCGACACGCGGCGGGCTCGGCGCAGACCGCTGCAGGCGGGGCGGGAAGTTGGCGCAGGAGCGCCAGCCCCTCGCGCGCACGGGGCTAGCGCATTTGAGGGCCCTCGAGAGAGGGCTCGCTCCCGGCCGCGCGAAGCTGGCCAGGGGGGGGGAATTCCCGGGCGTGACCCAGTGGAGCCGCGCGCGGCGCATCGTCTAATGTAATGTCCTCCTCGGCATCCCCCTCCTCTTCCTCCTCCTCCTCCTCCCCCTCCTCCTCCTCCTCCTCCTCCCCCTCCTCCTTCCCCCCCTCCCCCTCCCCCCCCCGCCCTCTCTCCCCCCCCTTCCTCCGTGGCAGTTTTGGCCCGGGCCTCTTTGGATCAAGCCGTCTTGACTCAAGGCTTGGAGCTCGGTCGCTGCCGAGGTGCGGGCCCGAGGGCCCGCCCGCTGGCCGACGGGCGACCGCCGCGCGAGCGTCGGCGGGGGAGGGGATATCTCGCGCGCTCATCTTGCCGCGATGCCGGGAAAGTCTCTTGGGCGCCCAGCGCCAACCCCCGACGCCGTTGCAAGTTCTGCAAGTCCTTGTTTCCCGATCGTTCCCCCGCAGGACAGGCCCCAGGAGGTGGGAAAAGGGGCCGGGCCCGTCGGGCCCGGCCGTCAGGAAGCAAAGCAGGAAGAGCGACCCGTCCCGAGCCGCCCGTGCCTGCCCCGCTCTCTGCCCTTCGCGCTCCACCCTTGCGACCTCTCGATGGACGTCTTGAGGCCCCTGTGGACGACGAGGTTCAGGGCCGTTTTGGAGAGGATTGCGGTGGCGACGGTCTCGGCGTTGATGGTGGCGATCGTGGTTTCTGGGCTGATTATCGTGATGATACCGATGGCGACTCTGATGACGACTGCGGCCTCGGCGTTGATGCTAACGGGAATGAATTTACAGCTGCAGATATTGATGAGGTCATGATGACCCTCCAGGGTCAGTTGGACGCTTGCACGGCCCCCCCCCCCCCCCCCCCCGCAGACTTGGCACGCGTTGCCACGCGTTGAAGGTCTCCAGGCCGATGTGCAGTCACTTCGGACTCAGAAGGCTGAGATGCTTACTATCCCCCCAGAAGCGCGCGTTGCATGCGCAACGTCATCACTGGGCCAGTAAGAAGTATGATAAGCTCACTGATCAGATCCGTGATGTTGGTGAGTCCATCGCGTCCCTGCAGGCTGATAGAGTCCCCCTTGTCACCAGGCAGCATCGGACAGCCGGGGACATTTCTTCTTGGGGAGACAAGTTTCAGCGCCTTCCAGCGATTGTGCCAGTATCCCAGGATTCGGATGACAGCCCTGACTTATCTGCGCCCATCGAGGTTTTCGCCAGTTCCAAGGCCATCCAGTAGGATGAGAAGTTGTCTCAGGCTTTGCGCCACCCCGAGGGCGACGTTTTGCATGGCAGATCTTCTGATTCTGCTCTTCCAGGTTCCTTAAGGCCCAGGTCAGTTGAACCCGT